CTCTTCGATCTTCCAATCACGGAGTTTAGTCAAACCACGCTCGCGATTGGTGTAGCTACGTTTAGCGTGGGAGGTAATGGTTCAAAGTAATCTTCCGCACGCCTTTCTCACTTAATTTAAGTTGTTGCCACCTCCACCAAATGGTCACTGCGAGCTGTTAATGCACTCAGTCTATTCAAGGTCCTGTCTCTAGTATTGTCAGTGCTTTTACCTTTTCAAGACTGGACTCGATGACGGTCCGTAGTGTGGCTGTGACAGGTGTTGCCGTGCTGGCAGGTTTCACTCGTATTTCTGACCCGTTCGCGAACTTCCACAATATCTGGCAAGGTAGCACCACCAATCCCAATGCTCTTGCGACGGCTCTTGTCAAGACAAATTTTGCATATGTCGGCTGGTCTAACGCTTTCAACCTCCTTGGAGAAGTAAAAGGCACCCACCCTGTGCGCACAGTCCGAAATGCCGGGCTCATGTCCCTTGGAATTGTAACAATGCTCTTTATCACCGTGCATTTCGCGTACATCGCTGCGGTGCCGCTCGACGAGATCAAAAGTTCCGGGCAACTCATAGGCGTGCTATTTTTCCGACATGTATTCGGTGGGCACTGGGCTTCCAAGATCCTTCCAGTTATGGTCGCACTTAGCTGCGTGGGCAACATTGTCAGTGAGATTTCTGACTTACCCTTAACCTGGCCCCGCTCATGGCCGGGACTGGTTTTCAGATCGCGGTTGTGGGTGTCCATACGCGTTACGTCCCGCCTTCAGCTGTGTCTGACATCATTGCAGACGGTTGGCCAAGCGCGTGTTTTGCGCGAAGTCGCTCGTCAGGGCCTCTTCCCTTACCCTATCTTTTTCGCGTCTACTCGTCCCTTCGGGACGCCCCTTGGACCCGTTGCGCTCAAATACGTGCTCACTGTCCTCGTTATATCCATTCTTCCCGCGCGAGACGCATTTAACTTCCTCGTTGACCTCGCATCATATCCGCTCCTGGTACGTATACGCTCCCCCGAATATCACCGGATATAAAAATACTCAGTTACATTTTTTTAAGGTTTTCCATGCTGCGACAGCGATAGGGCTATGGCAGCTACGTGCTCGCCGTGCAGGTGACGGGCTATCGAAGTCTCCTTTTCAGGTGTGGAATGTTGTAATTGTGCTGTGGCTCTTTCAATGCATATTCCTTTTCGTTATGCCCTGGTATGTGCACCTTCCGATGATTGGATATAGGATTGGATATAGGACTGACGAATCGACATGTCAGGGTACCACCGGAGGCTGGACATGCGGATGTCTCCTTTTGGTATGCGACGTGCGTAACTCTCTTCCTCTTGCGAACGTTGCGCGGTAGCGGTGGTTGACATTATTCTGTGAGAGTAGGTACTGTGTTGTGGGCATGGTACTGCTTCTCGTACGTGATATTTTCTTCACCCACCACTTGGTCGTGACGAGGATGCCTTTGCCTTTGGTCAGCTCTGTGCCTTGTATTACTACGTTTGGATCGTCCTTCTACCCAAAATCGGCGAATATGAGATTGTAGAAGAGGTTGTGGATTTGGGTGGCGGGGCCCTCACATCGCGGCTGGTGCGCAAGTATAAGACTCAGCCACTCGAGGAGCGCCCTTTGCTTGCATCGCCTCACCATGACTAAAGACTAGATCTACTAATGCCTAGCTATTCGACACGGTTACTATTCACGATTCACCACACTAGATTATATATTGTTGTACCCGTACCGGACTAATGACAAGTTTAGAGAGCGCATATTTGGAGAGCTGGGGTGGGCAGAATGGGGCAAGTATTAGTTGATAGTACTAGAGAAGGTGGGGGGGGTTCGGTCGCAGTCATCCAGACCTCAGAATCTTACTAAGGCGCCTTCCTCCCTTCGTCACGCCGAGCTCGTGAGCACTCATGGTTTCATATGCGTAGAGACTTACCTCTCTACCGAGGCTCTTCACCTTGATGGCACGTTCCCTGTCGTCCACCTGTTTATGAATCCGGAGGTGTTCAACCTCCCCCATCTTCTCGCGAAGCATCTCGGTAGTCTCGCGTGCATGCCTACGACTCGCCTCGAGGACCTCCCCTGCCGCTCGTAGGCTCGCTTGTCCACGTTCATTTTCTGTGCGCGCAGCGAGAAGCCCCATTTCCGCTTTGTGCGCATCGCTCAGCGCCCGCGAGTGCCGCGAGTGAGACACAGCCTCCTCCTGACATCACCAAGAAAAAAAAAAGATCGTCCATAGGAAGAAAGAATGCGGGGTGGGGATGGAAAGCGTTACCTCGATGGAGGCCTTTTGGAGTTTCTGGATCTCTGCCAGCTCTTTGAGCGCAATGTGCAGAGCAGCCTTCTCCGCCTTGGCCTCGCTCTTCATAATTTTCGACAGCTTCCTGCTGACGCCATCTGTGCGCGCCCCGCCGTGTATCAATACTACCGCCCCCATAAACGGACGAGATGGAAGGAATTGCGGGAACTCACGCTCGCTCTTGCTGATGGCGGCCTTCTCTCCCTGCGTGAGTTCCTCGTCTGCACTTATTGTGCGCGCCTGCAGGCTTGGATCCACATCCTTTGGTGTAGTGGCAGCGAGGTTGCGATTTGTGCGGCGGGATGCGGTAGACACTGAACGTCTTGTATCCTTTCCGCCTTCCGCAGCTCCGCTATTGGCGGCCACGACAGCGGGGTCATTTTCTCGAACCGTGTCAGAATAAGGGTGTTCGTATGGGTGGACTACCGATGTATCGGGAATAGTGAGGTGTTGAGAAGGTTGGCGTGCAACTCCATGTGCCCCAACTCCAGTAAGATCCTGTCGATATGAAGGTGTGGAAGGCCCATATACGATATCGACTCCGGGTTCACGACGACTAGCCCCATCTGTACTTCCGGACATTCTGCCTGCCTGTGCCTGGCGTGCCCCTGCGCTCGCTACCGAGGGCGAGGCCTGGTGTCGCGTGTCCATTGGTTTGTGGTATGAGGGAAGAGCAGAATCAGGGGATGGTCCACCGGGGATGGTCTCCTTGGGCAAGCTACTGTTGGATGCCGATGGGCCACTTGAAAAGAGTTTGAACATCTATCAAAAGCGTATCTGTTGACTCGTGAGATGGATAGGAGCAAAAAGGATAGGACGCGTAGAAGCACGCGGGCCATAGCCTTATACGACTTTCTGAGATGGTACTAGTCTGGGCTGGTAGTTGCTGCCGCAATTATATGCGCGGGCAGAAACGAAAAAGGAGGCTTTGACGTCAGCGCCTGTAAGCGGCCCGTGGATATGATAACGGTGGCCCAAAAAGATTTCTATTCAGCCCGTAATTCCCGGTAAAGCTGTCTAGTCTAGTACGTTACCCCGACCGTAATCCAGCGCAGTGCGCGCACTCTAAATATCTCCTAGGATATCTCGTTCCTCGTCGACCAGAATCACAGTGCGGTCTGCGTATATGGCCATCACGACTTCTTGCTCCCTCCACTGATTCGAGGATGAGGACGATAGAATAGGCTCCAGCGTATATTCTACGCTAAGCGCGGATAATGCGCCGCCATATGCGTGTGAAATGCCTTTGTTCGTCCATTAGCTCATCGCGTTTTGTTTTGCAACCGTCGAGATACGTTCTCACCTGTATCAATAATAATGATCTTGCCATTGCAACGCGACACAATTTTCTACAACGGATGGTAAACCTCATAATGAACTTTGGAGTAACTCACACACCTCGAAGTTGGGTGTGTGACCCATTATCATCCTCCTCGTTCCTGTCTTTTCTAGTACCGAATCGACCTCTCGACACACCTCTTCCTCGCCATTATTTGCCCATCCACGGTACCATAGAGGTCCATTTGACCCATACAGTGCGTGCTCCTCGGTGGTAGCACCAGATGGCAGACTAGCGTGTGGGTTAGGCGGATGAGGTTGCGGTTGCTCTCGGTGTTGTAACTTGCGTAGCAATGAGCGGCCAATAGCGTTTATGGCAGAGGGGAAGGGCGAGAGCCAGGGGTAATTAGGCGCGAGCCCCCCGTGTACGAAAGAATAAGCAGCATGGGAGAGCGGTACGGGTAAGTTGCTAGCTGCCAGTGCGGTATCGACGGGGGGAGGAAAGTCATCATTCGGTGCACCAAGAGACGGGTGGAGAGGAAGGCGAGATGTAGTCGTGTAATTTGCAGCCCAAGCACGTCCAATACGGCCAGTGGAGAGCATGGCCTGCCGTGCAGCGACACTACCAAAGGTCTTGATCTCGCTATGGTAAACGTATCTGTGCTGACCCTTAAGAACGTGATACTTAAAGATATACTAATTGCGTACCTCCAATCACCTATATGTGCGGTCAAAATGTCAACGAAGGTACAGTATATGGTCTCACTAACCGATTGCATTCATCCATTCATGGTTGCCCAGATGAGATAACATTTGTCCACCAGCATTCTGAGCCTGCGATCGCAGGTCTTCCATCCAGTCAAACAGTTTGATCGTATCGTCACCCCTGGGCTCTCAGGTCAGCAACCCAGCTGTTCACCGAGCCAAGAAACATACCGATCAATGATATCCCCCGTTTGCACGAAGATGTCTACTTCGCCTGACCATCTGCCATCTGAGTTAACGACCCGTGCCATTTCAAGGACTTTCTGCGCGTTCCCAATGTCTCCGTGTAAATCGCCCACAGCGACAATTCGGGTAGCGCGTCTTATGCGTCCATCAAGTGTATCCCTGAGAGGGCCGCGCGGTTGGTCATTGCTGGAGTAGAACACAAGATAAATGAGGGATGCACAGCCAATGAAGGTGATGGCCTGCCGAAAGCTAGGCATGTTAGGTGTGTACACTGTCTGCACTTAATGAGTGCGCCTCCCTCAACGCGCTTCCTGGCACCGGACCGGCACAACCGTCTAATTTGAAGTCAATACAAGATGCCAGTAAGGTAAGGCTAGAGGACCACAAAAAAAAGCACAACTTAAAAATAACCTCGGGAGACGTGTCCAACAAAGTATACATGTATGGTTTAAGAGCCGCGAGTACAAGGGAAAAAAGACTGCACTGGCCGGGAATTGAACCCGGGGCGGATCGAAGTAGTAGTACTCATGGCAACGATCCAGGTTACCACTACCCCACCAGTGCCTTGTTTTTATCACTGACCCTTCCAATATATCAAACTATTCTTGATTCTCGTGACGGGTGATAATAAATTGTATTATTAATCTACGACGAGGTTGATACATTTGATGAATGTTTTTATAGTGATAGCTATAGTTTGCTGCCATTGACATTGACCAGCCAGTTAGTAATGCGGTGACGATTTGAGCCTGGGCGACGTCAAAGGTTGAGTGATTAGCCTTTCCCTTACCAATCTGCTGACTGATGAGATGATATCATGGATTGGATGGGACCCTTATCAGACTGCTTCCTGAACGCTCTGAACATGAACACTCACAATACACACCTGCAGCATGTCTCTTCCATTTCCACACGTTGGTTACACCGAGGACGCACAAAGACGTGTGCGTGTATTGTTTGGTGGCCAGTACATAGTCGACACACACAAGGCAAAGCTAGTGTGAGTTCACATTCGTGGCGATACCCAGATGGTCAGTGACGCCGAGCAAACAACTCAGCTGGGAGCACCCATACTTCCCGACATATTACTTTCATACCTCAGATGTATCCGAAAAATTCCTACGGTACCCAAAGCGGAGCGAGAAGTACATCACGTACGACCTCGTCGTAGCGGAACGCATTGCTGAAGAGGCAGTCACTGTTCATAACAATGGCAACTTGAAGGATCTCGTCAAAATAACATTCGAAAAGGTGGATGCTTGGCTCGAAGAGGATGAGGAAATCCACGGGCACCCGAAGGACCCTTACAAAGTACGAAATACACTACCATTCCGTGTCGCAGTTTAGTTACCAGGCTGATGTGATGTTGTGACCCAGAGAGTAGACACCCGCCAATCGTCCCGCCACGTCCGCATTGTAATCGACGGTGTCGAAGTCGCCAACACGACCAAACCTCGTTTGCTATTCGAGACTGGTCTGCCTGTCAGGACTTACATTCCTAAGGGCGATGTGCGACTTGATCTCTTTTCTCATTCTACGTTGACGACTTCCTGCCCTTACAAGGTGCTCTTGCTTCCTGCTGTTCACGCGATGATACTCACCTGACTGATTTAGGGTGTGGCAAACTACTATGACATAAACTTACCTTCTGGGAAGAAGGAAGGCCTTGCATGGTGGTACCGCACGGCCTTTCCTGAGTCTACGGACATAAAAGGTTACATTGCGTTCCTGGATGAAAAGGTAGATGTATACGTCGATGGACAGTTGGTGGAAAGACCCACGTCGGTTTTTGGATGAGTTCCCTCTGCGTGTCAACCCAGAATGCAAGGGGTCTTGATGTTGCTGCTTGTTGTAACTTCGTACGCGCCGTGTCGAATGTAATGTCGAATGTAAATGTAACATACCAATCCAACATTGCTCGGTGATTGATATCATCTTTGATTCGTCTGTCTGCGATGAAATCTTTGGACTGGTCAAGATCGCAACACTGGCGAATTATGCACGTGCCTGAGCTGTTTAATTCTGGCACAATCACACTACTGCCTGGTTTGAATGAAGATCCTTGTCCCACTAGAACGCCGCAGAAGTGTCATCGTCAGAGTGCTTCACTCATGCACATAACCAGGGCCCTTTTTCTCTTGTCTCTGGAACCAATGTTCTCAGCTTTTGCCGCTGCCTCGGATTCTCCGCCGATGACACTTGGGAAAGCATGTTCAATCGCCTCCAACCGCCTTGACCCTCGCACGAGGAGATTCATAAGTGACTGTGACTCCCAGACATTTTGTTCGGGGATCGTAAACGGGACTTGCATCTCACGCCGGTGCCGGCGCGAGGAGTTTCCGCCTGGATATCACACGAATCAGACGGTACCACCATTATGTGGTGTGGGGAGCTTCTGCCCTGACGAGGGCGACGCTTGCCGCCCGCTTGTCGCCGTCGGTCAGCCGTGTCAGTTCAATCGCGACGACCAATGCGCACCGTCGAATATCCCCGAGCTAGCCGACTATCACAACTTTGACGGCTCTATATGTCTACACTCCATCTGCACGTAAGTTCTCCTGCCTTTCGTCACGGTGATCCTCGGCATAACACAGATGTGGATACTCCCTCCAAGCTATGCCAATGTGACCGAGAAGCAGCCTTGTATTTTTGAGCTCAGCACGTATGTCGACATAGACGCCTCGGGGCTGGGATTTCTGAACACCATCGTTCGTGACAATTGTCAAACGGCACGACTTTTTTGCGATACGACCACACAAGTATGTGAGAGACGGCGATTAGTAGGGCAACAATGCCAATATCACCGGGACTGCCAATCTGTGAGCGAGCCTTGGGCGTTTTTTTGACACCTCCATACGCTGAAGCATATGTCCAGTATAATTGCTTCCAAAATATGTGTTCTAGTTCGCCTGAGGAGCCCTTTAGAGTTGCTTCTTGGCAATATGCAGTGACTACGCTCGCCGTTATTCTAGGTATAGTTTTCTCTTCGCTCTGTGGAGATGTCCTTTGTCTACCCGTGAGTAAACACTGCAGCAATGGTAGCTACTTGCATCATGTTGGTAATGATGCATCGCCGGCATCGCTTGAAACATTATCAAGAAGTATACGACTATTGTGACGAACAAATGAGGCACGTGTCTGACTAACTGACATCTCCAACGGTCCACTTACTTGAGGTCAAACAGGCTCCGACAATCAGTCCTCGGGTCTAGGGCGCAAATTGGCAGGAATTGCGTCGCTTCTAATAAACTGACTTAACTGATCAAGCACACGGCCTCTTGTATTCGTAAGAGCTGAGTCAGGAGTCAGAAGTCACGTTTATATGGTATCACAGTTATCACACGTCAACTCTGTGAAGGGGAACTGTCAATAGCAACTTTGTCACTAAGACGAGATATCTCAGAGAACGCTGCCTTGAGAAGCTCCAGGTCTGAGTCAAGCGATTCGGCTCGGCTCCTCATCTATGATACATAACAGTGGCTGAACCAGCGTGTGACCAATTGACTTACAGCAGAAATGGTATCGGTGGCGTCGATGAGTTCGCGGTGGTGATTATAGACCAGAGATTGACGTTCGCTATCAAGCTGTCTCATCTCTGGGCAGGTAGCATGTGAAGGCGACTCTATGTTAAATTATTGCACAACAGCCTACCTGTGAGTAGATCATTCTCTTTCTTCAGCAGTGTCGTGAGCGATGCTGTAGTAATGAGCTGATCGTAATACGCCTTCGCGTCGAAGGCCGGTGAGTCTGCGTTCTTGTTAACCGGGCGTAGAATGTTTCTCGAGGCAAGCTAACCCAAATCCATTGGATCCATCGGTCGGCCGGACGGGGGTGGCGGGGTGACGCTTAACCCATAGTGTTTGCGTAGCAAGTCCTTTGCCCTTGTCTTCGAGCGTTCCAGAGAGTGCGTCACAGGGGAGGCTACTGGAATAATAATGCCTTGGCGTGGGGACGCATTGGGTGAAACCGTGGGCCGTTGGGAACTGGAAGGCTGAGGAGCAGAGTTAGGACGTAGGGGAGATAGAATGGTCTTGTTCGAAGAAATTTGCCTAGGCGGAGTGGTTGAAGTAGGTGTGGGCGAATGTGAGCCCGGACGAGACATGATGAAGTATATGCAGGTGTAAAGGCCAATGAATGGGATGAGCGAAGAGGATGTCACGTGAGCCATGAGACGCGTCGGGCGGGATTCACGGTATATTGTCGATGCGACGCGACGCGGACACGTTCTCGTTCTCGGCCTCTCTTTTTGACTGTAACTATCTCTGCCTCTCATAATGATCTGGGGAAACAATAACTGGATAATTGATGATAGCGAAGAGGAAGACCAATTATTTAGCCCGGAACTTGATGGTCACCGTTCTACCTCTCTCGTTCTCCCAGGTGCGCATCCTCCTAGCTAGGGTTGGCCCCGTGCCAGTGACATACCCTCCCTCGTATCCCTATCAGAAGGTGCTATCTCCAGCATAAAGGCCTTTACATCTATACCTTCGGAAAAGACTTCACATATATCTTCTGTTGAAGCCGTCCTCCCGGCGATGCCAACAATTTCGTCCTTCCCACCTCCCCCCCACGTGGAGTTTTCAACGATTTCGGAATCCTCGAGTAAGAGAGACACAAGACCACGCCCTAGACCTATATTTAATCGTCCGGGTGCCGGCCCTGTAACGAACACGTCCATTAGCGATCCTGTCTTTCAAGTTCCCCACACGCCGACCTCCGACCACAGAGATCAACCGACAATCGTGGTTCATTCTGATCCTACGGTGGAAAGAAACACCACTGACCACGAATTGAATAACTTTTCTCTGGATATCGCTGAGCGTGCCAAGATGCGCACGCGCAAAGCCACAAAGCGGTCCATACAGTACACGGAAGAAGTCATCGACATTACTGATGACGACCTCCCTACGACACCTGCCCGAAAGTCAAAAGAAAGGTCAAAACCACGTCCAAAAAGTCCTGCAATACCAGTCGGAAACAATCCGCAGCTGCCCTCCGACCCTGTGACTGTCCCAATGCCTAGCTCAAGCTCGCTATTGCCTCCCTCGGATCCTTTTCCTGAAAGTACAGTGATCAACTCTACTCCACAACCAGGTCCTCCTGATGAAGTTGCTGCACCCGACTCTTCACCGCAAAGGAGCCTCGTGCAACGAAGGAAACGGAAACGCACTGGTCGCCTCCACTCGCCGATAGGTGACCCTTCAGACCCAAATAGTCCCCCCATCATGCAAGTTAGTGTCACATCACCTCGGTCAAGTCCCCTGCCACATTCGGATCTCGACGCATCACATGTCGTGGACCCCGGCAAAAACTTGAACTCCAACAAAGCAGATGGTGAGGATGGGCATGACGTGGAAAAAGGGCCCAAGAAACGCAAAAGCTCGAAAAATGTAGAAAAGAGTGACAGGAGCGCCAGGCCAGAGGGCAGCGAGGCCGGTAGATCCAGGAAGAAAGCTGTCCTAGAGGTTGTCATCACGTCGCCGCGCCGGAAAGGGAGTAGGAAGGCCAAAGCAGGCAAGAAGGATAACAGAAGTCTGGAGAGCAATGGCTCCGAGTACAGGAAC